GCTTCTTGGAACATATTGTCAATATGTGAATCGTACTCGATTTATCCCATGGCAATTACAGTATTTTTAAATGTTTCATACTTTATATCTTTATATGTTTTTGAATCTTTAAATGAAGTTGCCCTATTTTATTTATTTAATAATTTTTTTTTTTTCAATTTCTTATGATCTTTTGATGCTACTGTATTTAATCTACTTTTTGTAGAACTTTTTATTTTTCTTTTTCTTTCAACTCAAACGTTTATTATAAATAACGTTTTCTAAAGTATTAAGATACTGTCAAAATTTTGCAAAATTATCAATTTTGTTTAACTCAAACCAAGCTGTGAAATGCATTGGCCATTTTTTGATTAAATCCAAAAAAATTAAATTTTCATTTTAATGAAAGCTTTATCACTATCTTTTTAAATGTAGTTGTATAAGTATTTTGTGTTTTGAATAGATGCTCAATATTTAACGTTAATGTGGCATCTATATTTCATGACCAAAATTTTATTATACGATACAACTATTGGCAAGTGTGATTTTACGCTTATTTTTGGTCTTTTATACGTAAGTATCAAAAATACAATTTTTCTAATATATTTGGGATAACCATTTTTTCAACTATGTTATGTCAGTAAATGGTTTAGGAAAATTTCCAATTCATTTGTCATTGGATGGATTTAAATTTGGTCTTTTTTTTAGTGTGAGAACTGTGAAGCATGTGTTAAATGATCAATTTAACAAGTTTCTTATTATTTAATAGTATTTTAGCTGATATAATTTTATTAATATGATCAAGTAAAATTATTTTATTGTTCGGTTGTGGTGTAACGAGAAGATGTGCATGTGATGAACCACGTTTCCGAAATTCTATAGTATAAACATAGGTTATTACTTTCCTAAAGAGAACAACTATTATTAATTTTAATAATTATTTCAATGAAAAAGTAAATGTATTCAGCTTTTAACATTCGCATATCGCTCTGAAATTTCAGCGTATGAAAGGTGAGTGCATCAAATACAATTTTCTTGAACTTTACTATGATATGGTAATGGAGAGTCAGCGCACTAAGCGCGCAGAAGGGTGAAAAAAGTATAGTTGTATCGTTTTAAATCTGCTGAGCTCATCCTTAGTGAGGCTTACTTTTTTGACTAGTTTAATTAAACCAAATTAAAATATGTTGATTAACCTCTTAATAAATAAGTGGCAAAACAAGCACCTCTAACTAAGTAACTTTCTGATGATACTATGTTATTACTTTATTCATAAGGGGTTGGCGTAGAGTGTGCGCACGGGGGTGGAGCCCAACTGGTATATACTAATATAAGAAGCAAAGTTGCAAAAACCGTTGTAATCGCTAACCGTACAAACTACTCAATTCGTTTTGCTCAAATTTTACTAACAGATTCATAACACTTCTGTGATGGTTTTTGCATAGCTTACATCTTAAAAAAATTAATCAAAATAGCAATAAATAACCTTAAATTTTTACAATGAGAGCGCTTGCTTCCCACTTTAGTTCAGTAGGATCCACTAGGTCGTATAAAAGTAAAATCGTAGGTACTTACAATAGCATTGAGTGAATCTGGTTGTAATATCCATTAAATATGCTCTGTCATTTTAGGGTTTCATGGCCTTCTCCTAATAGATCTAAAGCTACCAAAGCAAATTTTGCTACAAACTCAGGCCAGGAAAAACAATCTGGAAAAGTTCAGGCAGCCACAATGGCTTCCTCTTTAGTGGTTTGTCACAACAGTATACCCACAGAGAAAGTATTTACCAGGCCTACTTTCCTGACTAACAATCAGAAGCTTGTTACCCAGAAAAGTTGAGGTATTTTTTGGCCAGTGGCGTATTTTTCCCCAGCACGGTCTTCGTATGCAGATACTCCAAGGGTGAGAGTCAAGCTACCTGCACAGCTAGCAGAAATCAGTAGCCATCAAAAATAATAATGAGTAATGGCTAGAAGTATCTCTACTATTTCTATTTAAGGCCATTACAAGTATTTATATTCAAAACAACCCATAAATCTCATCTGTTCTTCTTAGGAGTATCAAACGTTAAACTATCTTGATAGCAAATATATTTATACTACTGTTCGTCAACGAAAAGACTTCGTAAGGCCGGCCACTATTAAATCAAGTCAGTCATTCACTGGCAGACGTCTTAAACAAAGTTGTTCGTCACAAGGCTAGGAATCCTGGTGACCGACGAACCCACATTACATGACTTGCTTGACTCTATAAGTATTCAACCTGGAATCACTAATGCTCTCTGAGATCTGTGATGGGCGAACATAACAGAAAAGCTGTAAAGGAAGAATAAACTTAAGCAAATAGGAGAGTCTCCAACAGGCAAGCATTACAAACCAATATAACATTTGGTATCGCTAAAACGACCGACCTGTGCAAAAACGAAGGTGCTTTAGACACCAATATCTCTGGCGTAATACCAGGAGACCTTAGGAAAAAGCTCTACAACTTGCTCCAACGCTTCAGAGCATTACAGTAATTCTTCTGGTCAGATTGGTGCTACAGCAGTAGGCTAGAAATCACATTCATGAATCCAGGCAGTCACGTTTGCTGGAAACTTCAGTCAAGCAGACTCTAGCCCACCGATCCTTTTTAGGGCTATTGGACATTGAACTACCATACCATAAGTTACATTACAACTTCAAGAAGTAAATAAGAAACAGCCTTAGAGGCTCACAAAAGCTTAACTATGCTTATAGTCTAAAAAGGGCGAATTGGAAGAAAAGCTTTTAATGCTTTAAATGTATAAAATTTTAAGCATCAACACAATGACGCAGAACATTTATCGTGATTTAAACAGCAGCGTTTAAATTGACGAATAAAGAATCTATGACGTGAGAGACCAGCTTTCTATTGTTACCCTAACAGTTATCTATAAAATCTTCCAGATTTTTTAATAGTTAGAATTATATGTATTTGTACTTGTTGTGGCAATAAAAAATAAAGAGAATAATCTCTAAGTCTTTAATGCTTTATTAGTCAAGTTGTGAGATCAAAATAAAAATTTTTTTTTAATTATATATTTTTCAACAGCTTGAAAGTTCTTATTGTTTTAATCAATAGTCCTCTTCATTTATCAAAATTTGAGAAACTGCGGATGAATGGCCCTTAACTAAAAATTATTTTATGGCATAAAAAACGCACGGTACTGTTTATTATAATTTTATTTTCTTACTTTTTGCAGCTTACTCTATAATTAATTTGATAAGAAAAATTATGATAAGTAAATTTCATTATTTAGGACCAAGCTTCAGTAATTCCTGAAAAAGCTTTAAAATTAGTTGATAGAACCTTAGAAGATTTGTGTCATAACAATTTTTTACAAACATATTAATTTTTCATTCGGTGAAGAATCATTCATTTTGGTAGGTGATTTTAGAGAAATACTTCCAGTTATAATGACACAAAATTTTTGGAGATCGTTTAAATAGCTACCTAAACAAAGTAGTTTTCACAAGTCATAACGAACTTTTGTATATTTCCAATAAAAAAATTTCGAATATTATTAAAGGGAAAAAACATACTTTTTGTAGCATATATTATGCAATACATAAATGTAGTGGTCGCACTGACAAAAACATAACTTATCCAATGAAAATTTTAAATAATATATGTAAAGGACTATTGCCACACGTATTTAATTAAAGAGTAGATGCTATTGTTACATGGATAAGAAACTTGAGTATATTTGATAGCTTGTGCAATGGCACTAGATCACTAGATAATTTTAATACTGGTAGTAATTCATCTTAACTATTTATTGTACACAGAAAACAGTTTTTGTTAGTTCTAATTTTTTTATGACAGTCACTAAATCACAAGGTTAAAGTGTTCATAAATAAGGCTTTTACTACAAAATACCTTTGTCTTTTTATGACTGTATGTATGTATTAGTAACAAGAAGTAAAAATCCTGAAAGTATATTTATACTAATTCATTTAGAGGATCAAGCAAATACTGAAAACGTTGTATGGCAAAAAATTTTTGATCGTTAATCAATTTATTTATTTTTTCTTAAATTTTATTCCTCATAATTTTTTTATCGTAAAAAAGGCTATATAAAGAAATTTTCATCTCTGAGTACTTTAGTTCCAAGTATACGTTGTATTTACTATATAATAAAATAATGTTATCCGAAATTATATGTTGTCTGCATATTACAGTTTATTAAGATATTAGAAACATTATCAAGAAAAGTAGAACAAACTGAGTAACACCTGCTAGTTCTACTTGATTATATGACTAACAAGTCTATTATTTTGTAGATATTAAGTTAGAAATTTTTCGCAAGTGAGTTGAGTTTCGCAAGTGTATTATAATTCTTGAGGGTTAGCTCGTGGAGGGTGCAGGAGACAAAGCTCAAACAGTTTACACATACTAGAAGGGCTTCGCCTTCCTGCATGCTCCCTGTGATAATAACCCAATCATTATATTCTATATATTTTTGTTATTGGGATATATCTATATTATACACAAGTCTTTGAATGCATTAACAATTTTAACGTCAAACAAAGGTACACGTAGTGCCGTTATTTTTATAATTACACTTGATTGAAAAAAAAAACTGTAAATTTATTGACATTGGTAATTTTACATAAATGACAACATGTATTAGATGACCATGAGTTGGATTCGCCATCTTGCAGTTTTTCTTTCCAACTTTATAAAGATATTTGTAATCAGTGAGCCTTAAAACTCCTTTGTGCACAGTTTTTTTTAAGGGTTCGATATTTCTGATTTTAGCATTCACTATATGGGACTTGTCATTCTAAATTTTTACTTTTTGACTTTACATTCATATTTATCAACCCTAAAAATCTTTTTTGGTACAGTTTTGTTGAAGAAATTAAAGTTCTTAGTTTTAACGTCTGCCAATTGGATCTGCTATTCTGAATTTTTTATTTCTGACACTAAATTCATTCTCAGCGATCTAAAAAACATACACACCATAACTTTTGTAGCAAAAAATTTTTATTTCTTACAGGTTTTTGGTAGTCTGATATTCTAAGTCCGCCATTTTGTTGAGTCACAAGGTAACAAAATTTTCACAGCAGAATATTATTGCTCAGATTCTTAGTAGTAAAGGCCTATTTTTTTTTTCTAGCTCAAATTTCGTGAAGAAGTAGAATTTTGTCACCAAAAATTATCTTGTCCCACTGTGCGTTGTAATGGTCGTCCTTCCCTCACTTCCTCTCATTTCTTACTGTTTTCGGATTTACTCACCCTGTCATGGTGCAAAGTCAGCGCTAGTATTTCAACGGCGCAAAAGAGGGAGTTCACATGCCGCCTGCCTTGCTCTAGGAATGAAAATCAGCTACCGTCCTCTGAGCCTAGTGTATTCTCCGGTACTGATGAGCAGGGTTTTAATGAAAGTGGTTGAAAGAGGTTGTGACCAGTAGCACGGCCAGCTTGGTGATTGTCGTTCATACTGACCGGTGGACGTATTGAGTTATTTGGTCTGCCCTACACCATTGGGGCCTGGGTGGACGGTGTTGGTGACACGGACAGTTGATGGACGTACATGATACATCTAGTTTAGAATTGTGCACTTATTGCGTGTACAAGGTCCCCATGGATCAGTAAGTCAAGCCGTTTGTCCGAAGGAAAATCCTGAATGACAGCATTGAGTGGCATGCTGATCAGGAAATGGCCAGGTGTAAGAACCTTGAGATCGCTGATATCACTGGACAAGGGTGTTAGTAGCTGGCTGTTCAAGACCATTTCAATACTAGTGATCACGGTAGAGAACTCCTTGTAGTTAAGGTGGCGAGAACCCACGACATGATGGAGATGCCCGTTGATGGACTCGATGGCGGCTCTCCAGATGCCGCTGAAATGGAGAGCCCAAAGATAAATTGCCAGGTAACTCCCTCTTGTGCCAAGATCCTAGTGACGAGGTCCCAGTTGAGCTTGGAGCCTTGCAACGCAGTGTGCAGCTCAGCATTTGCAGTGTAGAAACAGGTCGCACTGTTACTCCAGATTTTGAAGGGTCGCCTTCGATGGCTAGTGAACCAAGTTAGAGTGTTTAGGAAGGATGCAGTGCTAAAATCGCCGACGAGCTTGAAATGCAGTGCCTTTGTAGGCAGGGATACAAAGACCGCAATGTATTTCTTGGTGGTACGGACTCTTCGTCCCCTTAATAGGAGCACCTAAAAAAGGCTGGTGAGCTGAGGCGCTTATATCAATGGTAAAAACTTGATACACCTCTGAGCGTTGAAGTCATCAATCATCCCACATATCTCTGTCTCTGATCTAAATTGCAAACTACTTTAGTACCCTAAATTTGTATATTGTTCGATTATTTTATTTTTGTTATTACTTTGTGACAATTCAAATTGATTCCAAAGAATGTGACATGATCCCATTTAGATAATTAAAACTTTTATATTTTTGTAAAATCATCTAAAATAGCATACAAATGAAAAGAAGTTTTATATCTAGGTGTTTTCTGTTATAAATGTTGAATTATAAAAACTCTGGATATTTTAATTATTGTACGTCATAAATGTATCTGGAAGATTCAGAATTTTCTTTTATGATTGGAACTTGCAGTGATAATTTTTTGTTGTTGGTACAATCACTAACAAGAGTTACTCCAATTTTTTTTCAATAACCAAAGTAGGCGCCTTCTGTTTGATTGATTAATCACGTAGAAAATTAATAATACTTTTTTGATTCTTGAATTTTTTCCCATCGGCATTCTTTAACTGTTTTTTTTTTGCACGTATTACATATAATATCGAAGAAATATTTAAACACATTAAAAAGCTTAAAAAAAAAAACTAAATAATTATTGTAGAAACATATAAGTCTTCTAACTTCAAATAACTTTATCTGTCAACTAGCGGCCCCCCGTCTCGACTTCGCCCGAGATTCACGAAATGAAACATCAAAGTGTGTTGACATGTAATGTTAAACGTTTTCAGATAAAAATTTTACATCTATTCCTGACAGTTCTCAAAACTAAAATCTTCTTATCAAAAACATATTTACTCGAATTTCGTGCAATTCATTTTGTCGAATAACAAGCTGTGAAAAGTGAAAAAAATTTAATCATGCTAACAAGTACCATGCGTTCCTTACGCTATAAAATAATTGATGGCTATTTGTTAAAACTGTAAAGATTAAAAACTGACGATAAATATATAGTTGAAAGATCTTTTTTTCAAATCTTGCAACTTTGATACCAGAGCCACAAAGTCCTGGAGCTTTATCTCTCTAGTTTTTTTGCCACACTGAATACAAATACTCATTATTCTATCTATTTAAAAATCTAAAAGATTTCAGTGATTACTACCATGGTCTTATTAAAAATCTCATCTTTCACGTAATGGATTCCTTATTTGTCGATTTTAACACTGCTGTTTCAATCTCAATGAATGTTCTGCGTCAGTTTCTTGATGCTAAAAATGTTTAACATTAAAAGCATCTAAAGTCTTCCTTCCAATTCGCTCTCTTGTAACTGTAGGCATAGTTTAAACTTTTGTGATACCTAAAAGCTGTTCTTTGTTTAAGTTGTAATATATTTGTTGGCAAGATAGTTTTACATCTAATTACCCTAATAAAAACCGGTGAGCTAAACTCTTTCTTGACTGAAGTTTGCAGCAAATGTGACCACCTAGATTCCATAGGGTGATCTTCTCTGGCCTGATATTGTAGCATCAGATTGATCTTGAGGAGAACTACAATATCTGAAGCGTTAGGGCTAGTTGGAGAGCTCTTTACTAACACCTAGTGTAACACTAAAGAGCTTGATATCTAAAGCACCTTCTTTTATTACAGAGCTCAGTCGTTTTGGTGATCTAAGGTGGGGAAGTTGGTTCGGGACATTTCGTGATGCTTGCCTGTTAGAGACTGTCCCATTTGCTTTAGTTTATTTTTCCATTATAGCTGTTAGGTTTATCCAGCACAGACCTTAGAAAGCATCGGTGATTTCTAATTGAATGCTTACAGGGTAGAGAGAGTACTGTATTGTAGGTTAGTCAGTCGCCAGGGTTTCCAGTCTTGCGACAAACAACTCGCAGTGATAGGAAAGCGCGCGCGTGACGTCAAAGCACAATAGCGCGAACTGTTTAAGACGTCTGCCATTCAACGACTGACTTGGTTTTATAGTGGCTGGTTTTATATAACCTTTTAGTCGATGAATTGTTGTCAAAAATATTAGTTGAAATTTATTTGCTATAAAAATAGTTTAACGTTAGATGGTCCTTAAAAGAACTGTTGAGATACATTGGTTATTCGGAATATCAATACTTATGATAGCCTTGAAAAAGGATAGTTGTAATACTTCTAGCCATTACTTATTTTTATTTTTGATGACTGCTGATTTCTGCTGGCTGTGCAGGTAGCTTAACTCTAACCTTCGGAGTTTCTGCATACGCAGATCGTGCTGGAGGTAGGTACGCCAATGGCCGAAGAATATCTCGTCTTTGGGACGTTCCCCAGATAACCAACCACTCATCGGTAGTTGGGTGAGTGAGCCTGGAGAATACCTTCTCTGTGGACATGTTGTTGCTACAAACCACTGAGGCAGCTGTTGGGGCGAGCTTATTTATTGCTTCTGTTATTGATTTCTTTAAGATAAGAAATGTACTAAAACCATCTAAGAAGTGTTGCGAATTAGTAAGCAAAATTTCAGTAAAATTAATTGAGTAGTTTTTACGGCTGGTGATTACAACGATTTCAGTGACTTTGCTTTATATATTAGTAAGATAACTATTACGGTATTATACTCACCCTTTTTTTATTTTATATAATGATATTGGAATTTCAGAAACTCATGCATCTTAGAGGTTTGGATAAAGCTTTGTCATTAAACATATTTAAATATTGAAAAACGAAAAATAGCCCAAAAATTAATGAAATTCTAAATGACCAGGAGAATAAATAAAAACGCCTTCTAAGTGGCGTGGAAGCATGGATAAATAAATTTTGAACTTCAATAGACTTTTCCTAGTACGATAAAAATATTTTTAAAAAAAGTATATTTTTATTAAAAAAAGTGTGTACAAACGTTTGCTGTATGAAAAAGTAAGGCTTAAGGTCGGTTTATGTATTCAATTTATCAAAAAAGACCTGACGCCGAAAATAGAAGTGCATTGAAATACTCACAAAATCGAGTGGGGAGCAATTAAGGCTTCGGGAATTTAGTGGGAGGCTGATCAAATATTTATTGATTTAAAATAACGTAGAAATAAGACAAATTTTTCCTTAATTTGGGAGGGGGGTAGGGGGTTAGGGGCCCTTGGGGTGCGGTGGTGGGTTTTGCAAAATGCCCACAATTTAACTATATAATATAGGAATGTGTGTGATTTGAAATTTGGTGTCATACGACAACAGTTGATGAGGTAATAGTTCGACACCAACCGTGCTGGTGTTGCTTGGATACCCTTAGCTACACTCACATGATTTGGTGGTGCGATTTTTTTTCATCGAGATACTACAGCAGCTAAGTATTACGGCTAGTGGCCGTCGTTGCTTCTGGCGACAATTATCAACAAAAGCGGGGGGGGATGAACACATGAAAAAAAGTACTCGCGAGTAATGTTAATAAGAAAGTTTTACATTTTACAGATCAATAGTACACGAGTAATATTACGGTTATGCGTCAAGCATGGCAGCTTGACAAAATCGTGGCGCAATATCGTGGCATGGACAGATACATGCGAGCTGAAAGAGGGCTTCTGAACAAAGCAGTGGATGGTTACAGCAGACTTAGAAAGTCGCTTGTTGCGCTCTCGAAGATTTAAGCTAATCTGCCTGCTGCTTGCATTTTCTGGCGTTCTCTTCCTTTTTCTTTCATTTCTTCCTTTTCCTACTTTTTATTTTTGCTTTCCTAAATTACATGGGGTGTGCTCAACAGTGTCTTACAGTTAAATCTTTTGCCTAGATTGCTAGCAACCAAGGAATGCCATCCCGAAATTTTCGATGTTTTCATGCGTGCGTGACAGAGCGTTGGGCACGTTATTTTGAGTGCCTTTGTGGTGCTCAAAACCGTAGCTTCGAAGTTCTATGGAT